TACCATGTGGCCCCTCTCCTCCTGGTCATAATTTCTGGGTTAGGAAAGGAAGATAACCCAATCTGAGCGATAAGACTACATCAGGAAATTTAGGACTCAAAATAGCCTTTGCTCTCTGTGTGGCTGAAATTAAGATCCTATAAATCGGGAATCTAATGAGACTATCTCTATTCTGCCATGAGCAGAAGACAAGAAAATGATCCATGGAGAAGCATTAGGCTACGAGAAGTGAATGGAGGGTGTTTGGGGGACAGGAGCATGCCCTCTGTCTGGGTGCCTTTCTTCTTCCTGAGTCTGCCCCCTCAGTGCCCATCATCCCTTGGAGTCTGCCAGTTAGCCCAGTATCATTCTAATAATCCCCTATTTTGCTTAAGACTGATCAAGCCGATTGCTTTATTGGTAGCTAAAAATACTTTCACAAAGACAATAAAATTGTTCAATAAGAGGACACCAAGGGACATTGAGAACATTAGCAATTTAGAAACCATAATCAGGGAAAAAAATTACAGAAAGAACTTAAATCTAATCAACTATATTGTGAGAGAACCTAGGGGGACATTCTGTACTAATTGTCAAAGAAAGAGACCTAGAAAATTGCTAATCAAAGTTATAAATTTTAAGGCCACAGATAAAGGCAGCTCACTGATTCTATAGTTTCATAATCAGTTGTCCATAATTCTGAAATCCTAAAGTTCAGAAAAGCAAAATTTTTCATAAGTTTTAGGTCAAAATTCAACAAAACCTGATTTGAACCGAATGAGGCTATTTGTGGTCTTAATTTATCCCACCTTGTACAAATATTCATGCTTCACTGCAGAAATATTAATGCTTAGATGACAGGGTGCTGGCCCTGAATCTCTGGGGGGGTTTACATTAGATACAATTCAGTATGTGCACTGAATTGTCTTTGTAAAATACAAACAAAAATATCTGAGTTTTGAAACATATCTGGCACCAAGAGTTTCACGTAGGGACTATGGACCTACATATGTAACAACTGAGCAATCTGGAGTTAATTCTGGTGCACATTATGAGGTAAAGCTCCTTCCTTGCACATCAGGGAAATATCTCTTTGCCCGATGCACATGAATTGTGGCCGTGGCCCTTATTCACTTTTCTTTCTTCACTTTGTGTTACTTCACTTTGTGCTACTCTTGCACACCTTTGGGTCCCTCAGGGCTCTCCTGTCTCTGACCCGAAGCCTGTGGCAGTGGCCAGCTCTGTGTGGATGTGTCCTCATGCAGGTGTACCCTGACTGAATCTGCCCTTGAACTCATGCACCAACATCTGCTTCCCAATTGAGGCTTCTCTGTTGTGTGGCCTTTGTGCGTGTACCAGCCAAATGCACGTGCAAGTTGGCATTCCATAGGGAGAAACTTGGACCAATGGGGGAGGGGGGGCATTGGGTAAATGCTCCCTCTTCCTCTCACGCAACCCATGGACAATCCTGAGACACATTTCATACTTCTTTTCCGACAATCCTATGGGATGGAGCAACCAGTGGCCCATAATGGTGGCCAGATGATGATGCAGCCCTGTTTTGTCTCTCTTCCTTCATATTCTGCTTCTCCATGCCTCACTTCTCTTCCCTGGGATCACAGTCCCCCAAGAACAACTTACACCTAAGCCTTTACCTGAGGCTTTGCTCTCTAGGGAACCCAGGCTGAGTCAACCGCATATGAAATTCTCACAATAGTGTTGTATGAAAGGAGAGAAGGTTAGCACTCCCCTTGACAAGGATGGAAGAGGCCCTCGGGCCTGACAACATGCATACGGTTAAGGCATTGCCACCTACTTCGTGGCATCTAACCATCGTTTTTAGTACAATGATGTACACCTGAAATTTTTACAATGTTATAAACCAATGTTACTGCAATAAACAAAAAATTAAAAAAAAAAAAAAGAAATTCTCACAATAATTAAGCTGGAATCTATGAGAATCAGTAAGAAGCTTGTTCATGCATTCCATAAACCTATATCTTGTATCTACTAATGTATTAGATCTAGTATCTACTAGATAGATACTAGATTAGTATCTACCAGATTAGTATCTACTAGATAG